ATCCACGTTGCTGGCGACAGCAGATATGGTCTCCTGCCCAGGAGATTATCTCGTGGCTGAACAGTTTTGAGCCAACTTAAAACAAAACAGAACTGACTTACCTCATTCTTCAATCATCACTAATTAAAGACAACCTTCTGCTAGAGGCAGGCGGGGCTTTTGCTTTCTTTCAAAGTTGCCCTGGAATAAAGATTTCTCAGAGATAGCTCCTATTAATGAATGTATAATGTGGATGCCACTTCACAGGCGTTTAGAAAAAGCACAATTGAAATTGCCAAGATGGAACATGGAAGTCTGCACGTCAACAGGTAATTAGAAAACGGAGCTTCTGTGCCGTCTTCCTCCTCCTCCACCTCTCCTCTCTCAGTTGAATCCCTGATGCCTACGGAACGGGGCTGCTGGTGGCTACAGTTTACTGAGCACCTAAGTAGGAAGCGCATGATGACAATTACAACGAGGACAGCAGTTGGCCCTTCCATGGCCCTCACTTCAACCCCGGAACTGCGTGTTTACCTGTATCATAGTTTAACCCTCATATCAAGCCTGAGTTAGGTATTAGTATTCTAGTCCTATTTTACAAACAAGGAAAGTGAGCGCAGAGTGATTAATGAACTTGCCCTCGAGTCCATATTCTTTACCATGTTATACGGTCTTTCCAGGTCATCTACATTCATTACTCCACTTCATCTTCAAGACAACCTTGAAAGATAGGTGTTATCAGCTCTATTTTTGCAGGTGAAGAAATGAAGGATCAGGGGGATTATAAATTTGCCCAAAGCCACCTAAATAGTAAGTAGAAGGGTCAGTATCGAACCTGATTGCAAAGCCCACGTTCCTCCCTCCACCCCACATTGTTGCTGGCTACGGTGCGGGGGTGGATAGCAGAAAAGAGCCTTGGAAGGTTCTGGGCAGTTCATTTTTATAAATTGCATCCAAAAGCGGCTTAGGTTACAGAGAGATGAGGTCCTTCAGGCAGGAGATACTGTGACAAAACTAGGGGTCAAGGATCCCTGAAGAGTAGGAGTGTGAAAACGGACGGCTGATCGGTTTTCTGACGCCTTCAGAGGGAGCTAGAATTAAGGAAAGTGGTGAAACTCCTGAGCCACTGGTTAGCAGAGCTCGCAAGGAGTGCCCTTTTTCTGGTGGTGAGGCTGCCCTTTCAAGCGGATCTTCTTTTGCCTTTGCCGGGACATCAGCTGGGCCTGGGGTGATAGGGCGTGGCTGCAGGCCAGAAGCTAATGGTTCCCTCATGGGCTGTGATTTCAGTCACTTGCTGCTCCAGCCAAGTGAGCTAAAAAAACCACAGACAACATACCTCTGTCATGTTATTGTTCTCAGAAATGTGGGACAATAGGAATGGAGGAAATTTCCAGCCAAGGCAAAACTCAACCTTAGGTACACACACACACACACACACACACACACACACACACACACACACACACACACACACACAGTTGACAGTTGTCAATTGAGCCAAGTGTATTTCTGATGAATGATTAGTGGGGCTTTCCAAGAATCTGGCAAAATAACACTTGAAGGGGTTTTAGCACAGCCTTGAGATTCATGAGAGCTATTAACCTCCTTATGTTATCATTTTTCCAAAATAATTACCAGAGCAGCAGAAAGAGGTTTTCCTTAGGGGGTTTCTAAACAGGGGTCTGATCACTTTATCCGTCCTTAAGTTTGTAGTGCCAAAGATAAATAACAATCTTATACCATGGGGGCCTTTCTACATTAAGAGGGAGGAACTACATTACAGGGGAGAGAAACAACTAGTTCAATTTAATCATTCACTGAATTTATCTAGTGCTGAGAATGCTTGGAGAAAATATATAATTTTTTAAATTTTTAAAATTTAAATTAAAAAATTTTTTTAATTTAAAATTTAAATAAAATTTAAATATTTTTTTTAATTTTAGAATTAAATTTTATTTAATTTTTTAAAATTTAAATTTAAAAAATTTTTAAATTTTTTAAGTAAAATGTTATACAATTTTAATCAGCACTCATTAGAACCAATTTTAATGACATGCTAACAAAATTTTCCAAACCCAGTAAGTTCTGAGACGGCAGAACTGTGTCTCATGACTGATGTGACCCCATTGCTTAGAAGAGTTCCTGGCACGTGGCTAATGCTTAGTAACTATCTATTGATCAGCTGTCCTACTGGCGTTCCTTCCAGCTGACCACTTTGATGATGATGATGATGATGATGATGATGATGATGATTGCAGTGCTATGTACTTGGGAAGCAGCATCCATTAATCCTTCCAACGATGCTACCAAGTAGTTAAAATTACGGTCCTCATCTTACAGAGGAGGGACGTGAGGGATAGTGAAGCTCTATTACATGCCCAGGTGATGGCAGAACCTGCTAGAAAGTGGTAGGGCTAAGATTGGAACTGAGATCTCCCTGCTCCTGGAGTCTGAATTCTTAGTCACTGTTCTAGTCTGCCTGTCTATCATCAGTGGTAGGCTTCAGGTGGTGAAAATGAATTCTTGCCTGGAGTCAAGAAGGGTCCTGAGGTTATTTTAACATCATTTCTGGCAGGTGTGTGGCGAGAGGGAAGTGTTTCTATTTATTTTTTTTTGGGGGGGGTGGTATGCGGGCCTCTCACTGCTGTGGCCTCTCCCGTTGCGGAGCACAGGCTCCGGACGCGCAGGCTCAGCGGCCATGGCTCACGGGCCCAGCCGCTCCGCGGCATGTGGGATCTTCCCGGACCGGGGCACGAACCCGTGTCCCCTGCATCGGCAGGCGGACTCTCAACCACTGCGCCACCAGAGAAGCCCGGAAGTGTTTCTATTTTGTTCCATACTCTGTGGAGGCATTTTTGGTAACAGAGCCCTTTGGAACTCACCACTGGTGATTCCAGAATGTCTCTAAAATTTCTCTGTAAGTTCCTTTCTTTGAGCCCCACCCAGAATCTCCCAAACACAAAGAGAAACTCTGTTACAAAGTGGGGATGAGGTACCCAGACTAGTTCATAAAAGCCAATTTAACTAATAATTAAAATACAGTGTACCTACCGTGATAAACTAGTAATTAAGCCAGATGGAAAAGGGTAGCATTCAGTAAGCTATAATTCATAAAACTGTTTGATGCTCAAGGAAATACAGACTTAATGAAGAGAAAGATTGTTTTTTTAATTTGAAGACCTCTGGATCCTTTCATAAAGGCTTTTAGACACAGGTAATGCTGGCACTTTAATTCTGATTTCTCTTTGAAACCTGGCTTCCTGTTCTTTGTACCTTAGATAGGGGTGATATTACAAGGCACTCTCATACTTGACACCAGTCATTAGATTGATTTTGTTCATTTGTAGAACAAAAGATGGAGGGAGATAAAAGGGAAGGGGGAGGGGAGGGTTCCCCACTGGACGCTGGTCTGGGCTGGGGTGACCGGAAGAGATGAGAGGGGGCGAGCAGAGGGGATGTGTGTGTAGAGATGAGAAACTAAATACGTGAGCTCCAGGTGGGGAGCCAGGACACGCCTCCTGAGGGAGAAGCACAGCTGCGATGAGAAAAAGTCAAGAGTGTGCATGTGTGCACAATCGTGTCTGTGTGATTGTGTGTTCTTACGTTCAGTTGTGCATTTATTCAGTTTATCGAGCATCTCCTTTACGCCAGCCCTGTGCTCACAGATAAAGTCTGGGTCCTCAGGCAGTTTACATTTTTGTGGGGAAAAGAGACAATAGACAAGCAAACAAACATATTAAAAAAAACAAATAAAATCACATACAGTGAAAACAGCCAGGATGAAACTAATTGAGGCACTAGGAGAATAAATAACAAAGGCACCAAACTGGAAGAGAAGTCTCCTGGAGAATGTGACTTGAAAGCCATGTATGAGGAAGTACCAGAAGAAATACATTTCAGGGAGAGGGACCAACAAGAACCAAGGGCCTGGAGAGACAAAGTACCTGGTGTGTTCTAAGAACTGGACGGAAAGCCAGTGTGACTGCAGCTCACTGATTAACAGGGAGAGAAATGTGTGATAAGCAAGAAGACGTGGCAGGGTGGGTCCATGAAGGAACTCACGCCAAGCGGAAAGGTCAGTATAATTCTAAGGGCAGGGGGAAAGCCACTGGGGGCGTTTGAGGGAGGGAGTGACAGGTCGAAGGAGCTTCCACAAAGATGGGCCTGGCTGTTGGAAGAAGAATGCATTGGGGGGTCAGGGACCAGTTGTGCTCATCACGGTGGCATGCGTCCTCCTGTCCCTGTTATAGGCACTGGGCAGACTGGGGAACCAGACAGCCACTTGCCTTTTGGCATTTTACAGCTGGAAGGACACTCATTGTGAGTAACGTGGTTTTGGAGAGTTTTGATTTTACAGACGGTAGATGACAAAAGTGGAGGACTCACAGGGTACTGCAACTTTCTCTTTGGCTAAAGAAAGTAAAAACTCAACTACCATCTGTGATCACATTCTTTTCATAGAGAAAGGATATTTTAAAACCCAAACTATAAGGATTTAATCTCGGGGGGAAAAAACCCAACTTTGTAGAAAACACTGCACTTTCCTTGTATTTTCAACATTTTGCTTTAGACGGGGTGAGAACCTCCTTCCAGGCTGGGTACACACTCCCACATCAGTGTTCAGAACATCAGTGTTTTGGAACCACTGAGCCTGCCTATCTCGCCCATTTCACAGGTGAGACAAAGTGAGGCTCAGGAGGCATGTGGCTTTCTCAGGGTGATGATGTGAGTTAAGGGCAGAGGGCCAAGGCCCCAGTCCCCTCACTCCAGGCTCATTCTCCTTCCATTACATCATCACGCTGTATAGTCCAGATGATTTCTTCTGCTTTGCCAACTTTCAGATACCGCCCCATCTGTTCCTGTCCAGGGTGCAGTACGCTGGCCATTTTCACTTCCCTGCCAAGATTTCTGAGAGCTGAGATACTTAGGAAGAAACAAGAACTCAGCAAAACAGCTCACAGCCCAGAGCCTGATAAAAAGGAATTCCATTCTTTATAAAGAAGAGGAGGGTGCTGTCTTACCTGATCTTTAGATAGGCTGCAACTCCAAACACCAGCAACACCACAGCAATGACTGTCACCGTAATGGCGGCGATGCTGCCTGGGAAGGAGAAAAGGCACAGAAAGAAGATGAAGGAAGGGTGTTCATTCCAGATCATTCTGCAATGCGAAACCCAGGAGCTTAATTCTGTTATCAAAATGCTTCTCAGGCTAGGCTAAGTTCGGTAAATGGCCAATATTTATTAAGACCTTTCGGCTGGCCTTGAGTTCAGAAAACAGTTCACAGTAATATTTGATAATTTTTTTAAGAACGCCACCAATCTATTGCTGCTGCCGCTGCCGTCTGCAGGGGTAGTGGATTTAAAATCTCCTGAAGTACCATTTTCTTCTTTCATGTGCTTTAGCTTTTGTCTTTCTAGCATTTGCAAAATATTGGAAGACCTAGGATGCTTAGTCAAGGGCCATGACGAAATAATGCTGTTGATTTTTTACTAAAGCAGAACCACAGCGCTATGTCAGTAGTGTCCACTTCAAAAGGGTCCTCTTGGTAGGAGATGCACTAATTTTAATGATGCCATCAAATCAAAGCAGTTTTAAGAAACACCGCTTTGCGTCATGTGTCCAGTTTTCAGCCCTGAAAGGTGAATCTGATTTTATAGAGGATAAAGTCGAGTTTGGTGTATAAAGTAAGGTCAAGTCTGGTAGGTAACGCTATGTTTTGTTTGTAGAAATAACCAGGTACAATTATAAAGTAACATGAATGTTTTATCGTGTCGTTTAAAATCTGTTTCCAAAGGCAACTATGCATGGGCAGTTAAAAAACAAAAAACAAAAAACCCTTTGAGCACATAGCCTTGTAAGAATAACCACACTGCTTCCAGAGATTACTACTTTGGGCACAATGCTCCTTTTGTGTGAGTTGGTGGCTAATAATGTATATATTTCAGTTTTATTTCACCTCAGAAATACCAAGCATCAGTTGGGCTTTTGTCTCCTCATTGTTAAAGGGACTTTTTGGCATTAAAGTTGGCCCCATTTACTCGTTCAGGCCACTGAGAAATTATTTTCTACTTCAACAAATGAATGGGACTCTTAAACACATTGTAAAGAGCATCAGATCTGGAGTCTGAATATGCGGATTCAAGCGTGGTTCTATCATTAGCTGTCTGACTATGGGCTAATTACTTAACCCTGTGGACCGATAGATACACCACTCACCTGCTGTGGCAGAGAAAGAAGAGCTGTTCTACCTGTCCACATAATTTGAAGAAAATTAAATGAGGTGCCCTGTGCACCAAGCTAAAGTCCTATCCAGATATACCTTCCTGGACCAGTGCCCATCTTTCATGAACTGCGTCGCAAAGGTGATGGATCTGTCCCACATTTTTGGAGATTTACTATTTGTGGATGATTTTGCCACTTCTCCTTCTATTTTTTCCCCCCTCTCTTATGAATGGCTTTTGTATATTGTTCTTCTCATTAGCCCTTCCACCAAAAGAATTAGAGCAGAGCTAAGAAGCAAATGAGTCTACTCATTAACTCTTTAGTAACTCCCGTAAAGGTTTGGGTGAAAGAAGGCTACAGAAGACATGCATGCCCCTGCTGGTTATCATTTCTAAGAGGCCAAGAAGGTATTGCTAACATTGAGACTACGACCAGAGCTTGATGTGTCTACACAGACCGACCATATGTACCATTTTAGAGCTTCCACACTTCTGGACACTCACACGCCCATCTCTTTGCTCCTAGAGTCCTTTAGGGCCAGATTGGTATAATTATCAGTACAGTTCTCTTTCCTTTTTACTATTGTCAAGGTAGAATTATGGCACCGAACACTCAAATATGCAGACTGGATCAAGTAGAGAAAGTCTGAGGTCAGTCCCCTTATGGATAACCTCTACTCTGCACTTAGCTTCTCAGCCTCCAAACTGCGCTGAAATTAGAACAATTCAAAGTTCACTGAAGCCTCTTAACAGCTCTTTTAAGAGCTTGTGAAATGAGGATTATTACTGCAAGGTAAGGTGATGGGGGTATTTCAAGATTCAAAAAGATACACTGATTGCAATTAGGAGCTTTGAAAACTGACCTTTAAATTTAATTTCCTCCTTTCAAAAAAATGGGAGGAGAGAAAGAATATAGTTGATTTCCTATAAGACCCTTCTTTCTTGCCCCAGGATACATTTAATTTAGGAAATCATAGGTTTGTCCTTCAAAGTTTCTTCCCTAACTCTAGGCAGTTGGATCTTCTCCAACTCTGCGATTTACTGGATATATTTAAATACCACCTCTACTGAAGATAAAACAGGCAGTTCCCCAACTCAAGTGCTGTTTTTTGTTTTTTTGTTTTTGAAACAGAAAGTAGTAGAATGACCGGCTTTCTCTCCATGTGACTGGTGGCTGTCTGGCTCTCGGTGTAGACCAGTCTTCAAACAGGGCTCTTCAAGGCCACCCTTCTTGTTCACAGAGGACAGCCGTGCAACAAGAGTTAGAATTAGCAGGTGATTCCCCCCATGGGCCCTTGAGGGCAGCTGAGCGAAGGGGCGTTTCTGAGGGTTCATATTGCCCAAAAGGAGGCCAAAACGTGTGAGGTGAAATAGATGGTACTTAAACATTCGGGCCACCTCCTTAACTATTCTGCCACCCACCAGCTCTTCTCAGAGGGTGCCACCATGGGGGCAAGGGTCTTCTGGAACTAGAAGGACTTCATCAGGCCCCCAGCCTGGGAGGGCTTGTGTCCTAAGCTCGCTTTCACCTCCACGGCAGCTGCCCCACTCCGAAGCAGCCGGGAAGTTCATGCTGGGAAGTTCCACGCCTCAGGGCATTGTGGTTTGAGCATCTGAGGGGTTTGCTGAGCTGACAGTAGGCGAGGGTAGCAGGACTTTATGCGGGAACCGAAAAGGCCTGATTTCCTCCTTGTGAAAACAAATGCCATTTCCCCCTGAGTTCTGTTTAAAGTAAACTGGATACTTCATGACCTTTTTTTTTCCCCCCCTTAGATTCCATGTATATGTGTTAGCGTACGGTATTTGTTTTTCTCTGGGATAAGGAGGGTGGGAGGGAGGGAGACGCAAGAGGGAAGAGATATGGGAACATGTGTGTACATATAACTGATTCACTTTGTTATAAAGCAGAAACTAACACACCACTGTAAAGCAATTATACTCCAATAAAGATGTTAAAAAGAAAAAAAATACAACAGGGTATTGCTTTTATCTGTATTTTCATTAGCATTCAGTCAACTCAAAAAATGTATTAATTAATTAATGACTGCGTTTTGTATGTGTCAGTCATAGGATGGGTTATTACTATAATAGCAGAAATTAAAATACCATTTATAAGGGAACAAAAAATAAAAAACTGGAATTCCCCTTCTCTTACTTCCTCTTTCGAGGCAGGGCAGGGAGAGGAAAGATAAGGAAGGTGTGGCTAGGGCAGGGAAGCTCTGCCCTATGAGGAAGGTGTGTACACTGGGTGGGCAGTGCCCTGGGGGTGGGGGATGGGGAGGTGGCTGGCATTTCTGTCTTCCTCATCTTCCCTGTTGGCACGTGTGAGTTTCAGACTGGGTGTGATTCACGCTGTGAAGCCCTGGAACCAGAAGAAATTAAGAGAGAACCGGAGGAAATTTATGTATTTTCTAAGCCGAGATGCCAGAATATCCCACTGTGCCAACACGTTCTGCCTGACCAGAGGGCTGTTGAAGAGCCACGAGCCAAAGCCTCCTTGAAGTCTGGGTCTCTCTGATGGCGTTTCTCAGGGGGCCATTTCCCCACTTTCACAACAACTCAGAACAGAAAAACAGAACAGGCGAGAGAATGATCTGTTCTACACTTGTGGGTGGTTACATCGGTCTGGTGCTGGGCCAAGAAATTTACAGCTCCCATCTTATTGAATTCTCTTTATGAGATGAAGAGAATGATTCCCATTTGATGGATGAGCAAGTTAAGGCTCAGAGAGATTTAAGAACTCGATTCAGGTTTTATAAGCTGGTAAATGATTAAGCTGCCATTTGAACCAAGGACTACTTCCTAGGTTTTGCATGTTTAATCATTAATATACTGGTGACGTCCCTGGCCCTTTTCTCAGCTTGGCCAGCTCCTACACTTTCTTTATGACAACTAAATATCAACCCTTCTGGGAAGCTTTCCTGACACCCCCAAGCAAGCTGTAGTGTTGTTGTGTGTTCTCAGCTCTTTGTGTTTGCTTCTCTTAAACACTCTGTGTTGTATTTATGAGCTTCCCCAGACAGATTCTAATCATATTCACCTTGCATCTTATCTCTAGCCCATAGTGGGTATTTAAATTATTTTGTTAAATGTTGAATGATTAAATGTAATACTCGCAAAAAAAATAAAAAAGATAACTGGCAGTTTTTGAGACCAGTCACTGTGCTAAGAAGGTCCCCAAGAAGCAGCCTCTCCACCTGTCCATCGTGGAACCCCTGCTCCAGGTCTTACCTCGGCATCTACTCCTATGACTCTACAGCTATGGTCCAACCGCCCCAGTGTGTGCTTGCGAGTCCCCATGGACGACTGAGCTGGACGAGAGTTATCTTAGGACTCTCTGTCTGAATAAAGTCAGAAAATATCCTTGAAGTAACCAGAACAAAACCCCAGAAGCCCACGCTTCTGGTTGGACCTCGGGTCAGACTACCCGAGGGAGAGGGTTTCCCTGGAGGGCGTCACTTGCCCTGCTTTGACTCTGTTCTGTGCCCGTGCACTCCTGGAATAAACTATGACATCATTTACAGGCTCTCTCCGCCGCCCCCAACACCTGCCTCTCTTTACTACGCTTCGGCTAGTCCTTCGCAGACATAGGACGTCCTCCACACCCAGAAGGGACTCTGCTCCTGTCCAGACTACCACCCCGTCCCTTGTCCTAAAGGTGTCCTCCTGTCTTCCTGGGCTTAGCAATGTTCCCAAACCTCAAATGTTCCCCTGGGGACTCTTCTCATTGAGGGATTTCCCCCACCCCCCACTTTAAACATGAAAGAAACGTCTCATCTGACCTCTTTGGCAGGATACTTGCCAATCATATCCAAAAATGAGAATATTAGGATGTGATAGGATGAACCCGAACGACCTCCGAAAGAAAGAGCTTTCC